TATTCTGGGATCAGTTGTGAAACTCCTGCTACATATTTTTTCCTGTTATTCATTCCAGTTGTATTCTTTCATTCATACATAGTGGGATGCAGTATGAAACAGAAAAAAAGATTTGATTGAGTCAGCCATCTTAAGAGAGGATTTATACTGCAGCTCTAAATAAATTATTTTTTTGTGGATTTGTTACATTTCTGCTTATCAAATTGCAGAAGCTCCTTTAAACTCAGAACACCTATGATAGGTAGGTGCCTATTACCCATTTCTGTGCTGAACTGAATCTCTTTGTCCTATCCACAGAACCTGTTGCCAATAGTGGTGAGAGAGGAGCTTGCAAAAATAAACTGAATTTGCCTATTTGAGATATCTTTCACTGATTCAATCTACCTCTCTGTCATTATTAGGAATTCTTGCCCTTGTATTACTATGTTTGTTCAATAGCAACCATGACACATATTAGTGGATCTAAGAAGGTTCTTAATCAGTTGAAAGATACCAGAATTTCATTGTTCCCAAATGTATTCAGGGAAAAGGCATGAGTCCAATGTAGAGTTTCCAACTCCTTGTGCCTTTGAAAAATTGGCCAAATCATCTATATACTTTTTAGGGGCATTAAAAAGAGCTTGGCCAGCAGGCCAAGGGAGGTGATCCTCCCAATCTACTCTGCCCTGGTAAGGCTTCATCTAGAGTACTGTGTCCAGTTCTGGGCTCCCCAGTACAAAAAGACAGGGATCTCTTGGAAAGAGTCCAGCGGAGGGCCACAAAGATGGTGAAGGGCCTGGAGCATCTCCCCTATGAACAAAGGCTGAGTGAACAGGATCTGTTTAGCCTTGAGAAAAGAAGACTGAGAGGAGATCTGATCCAGGTCTATAAATATCTAAAGTGTGAGGAGCAGAGTGGTTAGGCCAGACTTTCCAGCAGTGTGTGGAGACAGGATAAGGGGAAACAGCCAGAAACTGCAGCATAGGAAGTTCTGCACAAATGTGCGCAAGAACTTCTTTACGGTGAGGGTGATGGAGTGTTATAACAGGCTGCCCAGGGAGGCTGTGGAGTCTCCTTCTCCGGAGATGTTCAAGACCTGCCTGGACACCTACTTGCACAACCTGGTGTAGGGAACCTACTTTGGGAGGTCCCTTCCAACCTCTACAATTCTGTGATTCTGTGATTCTGTGAAGGCAGAAATTTGCTGGACAAAAGTTATAAGGCCACTTCAGGAATTTTTTTTTTTTGCAAGTTACTATTAACTGCATCAGAAATTCTGCCTTTTTCTTTCCACTTGTATAAACCAAGGGGGCAGAAATCATATTAGAGAGATGAAAAGAGAACTATAGAAATGCATACCACCTAAAAAACAGGAACAGGCACTGCACTTTGGGTATTTTTATGTGTATAGGAAAATAGTAATTATCGTCAGAGCTGCAGCAGTCTGCACGCTCAGTGAAGATGATATGATGGACCTTAAAGAATGCATCAGATTATTGTATACACATTGCCCAGTCCTTCACCAAAGGGTTCTAATCTCTACCTCTTTTCTCCCTCTGGCATCCTCCTTCTGTAGATTCAGATTCCAGCCTGCCACAAGAGTGGTGAATTGATAAGGTCACTGGGTTAAAGCCCAAGGCTCAAGCGAGAGTTTAACATACAGTGTAAATTTATACAGTCATTCTTTCTGTTTTCTACTCCCTTAATTAATATTTAAATATTCCAAGTGAAGTGAAATAAGTTGAACAGGAGCCATTAATGACCCGAATCCAGAACACTCTATAGTCTGTTTATTGGAGTGTTCATCTGGGAAGCAGAATAGAGAAGTCAAAATCTACTATCTCTTCCATTTAAAGGCAGACTGCTCTGAGGCTTCTCAAGTCTCAACTGAATTGCCCTAGAAGTAATGTTATTGTTTAAAAAACAGCAACCTCCTTCTTCCTAGCAGCATGGATAGCCCTTTGTTTTTAATACATCCAGTATTACCCAGTCTTAAAATTACATTTTGCATTAAGTATTCTACTTGATTTTTTAATTTTTTAAAATTCTGTTCTCAGGATGAAGGCTGTAATACAGAAGATATGTAGGAAATAACATAAATACAGGAAATGACTATTTTATATTTGAATGAGTCTGGACAGCATAGGGCTGGTTTTTTTTTTTTTTTTTTCTTTTTCTAATTTTTCTTCACGGGTACTGGGAAGCCTAGATGCTACATTGCCCATTCCTTCATTCCTTGACCATAGACTCCCTATGCTTATTGTGCCTTAAGGAGAACTCAGCTCACTAACCCAAAGGGGTTAGCTGCCAGAACTACAAGTTCACCCTAAACTCTAAAAGTTGCACAGTATTCTCCTCAACATTGCCACTGATTGTCAAGGTTTATTTATACCTCTGAGACTTTATGGGTCTTTAGATTGTATCCTAAGTGATAAGACTGAAACCAAAGGATTAGTAAGAATCTCAGTGTTTCAGCAGTTTAGAATTTAGCAAATCAATCTGTTGATGCAAATGTGATATTTGTGACCTGATGGGGCTGTTCTGTGTGCATGAGAAATTGTGATGTGGAGTCAAATGTATATATCTCTGGAATAATCTTTTTATGAAATGCGCATAATTTTTAAAAGTTGCTAGCCCCATTGAAAATCAGTAACAATCACAACTCAGTGCGCCAGGAGGCTCTCACAGATGTGGCAGTGGGCTGAAATTGGATGGCTGAAATTGTAACAGCCTTCAGCTGCACCCTCCACTATTGAAAAAGATGTTGCCGCCCCCACATCTGGGGCTGCTGATATGTTCACAAATCTCCTAACCTACTGCAGTGTTCATCTAAGTATACTAAACTGGATTCTGGTTGGCTATAACACAGGCAGAGAAATTGGTCTTGGGCATGAAAATACTAATTATATGGGTGGGAATGTCTGGAATTTGATTTTAACCTGTTGCTGAGTGACACCTCTCAAGTGGGAAAGGGACACTTGATAGGCTCCAGCAGTTGATTTCAAGGCAGCAAATATGTCTGCTTGGGCAGAAGCTCTGCTCAACTGTAGTATTGGATTTCCTAGGAGTCCAGTGGAAGGCCTCAAAGATAATTAAGGGCCTGGAGCATCTCCTGTAGGAGAAAAGACTGAATTAACCTAGGTCTGTTCAGCCTGGGGAGAAGGAGACTGAGAGGGGATCTGACAAATGTTTATAAATAACTACAAGGAGGTGGGAGGGAAATAGATGAGGCCAGGCTCTTCTTGGTTTAGTGTGGAACAAGGAGCAATGGCCTAAAACTTGAACATACATAAGAAATTTCGTACTAATATGCAGAAGAAATTTACTGTAAGGGTAACTGGACACTGGCACAGGCTGCCCAGAGGGCTTGTAGAGTCTCATTTAGGGAGATATTCTAGACCGATCCGGATGCCTACCTGTGCAATTTATTGTAGGCTACCTGCTTTAGCAAGGGTTTGGACTTGATGTTCTCTTGAGGTCCCTTCCAACTCCTCCGGTTCTGTGATTCTGTGAATATTTTTCAGAGGAAGAGAGCAAGTAGCTAATTAGATTTGTGAATAATGCTGCCTATACTTGTCCCATCTTTCTTTACTGATCTAATTGTGAAAATAGTAGGACTGCTAGATTTGGGAAAGAAGTTAAGATCAGTAGGAGATGGACAACAAAGCACACAACATTTGGGCACTCAAAATGAAGGACAAGGCAGGGAAAAACATCAGGATTGCACCATAAGTACTGCAAAAATGGTAGTGGGGAGTCTATTAATCTTTGTGTAGTGCAGCTCTTTCACTTTCTATACCCCTATCATCCTAGAAAATTATTAGCTTTTGGTTGAGTAGCTGCAAAGGACATATTTGATATCAAGGTGAGAAATAGAGGCATAAGAAAATCAGGCATCACCTTATTCCTTGAAAGTTCAGACCTCTGTGTGGACAAAGGTCCCTAAAATCACTGACATTTATTGAGAGATGTTAAAAAATGAACCCAGCTACACTGGGAACACATCATATCATATATATCATACAGTAGCTTAACAGTAGGTTACCAGCAGATTTCTAGACTAAGCTGGTGGAGTACCATGTTCTACTGTTTTTAACTGTGAAGTTATGAATATTTTTACTTTTATTGTTTTATATTCTGGAAAACAACTACCAACCAAGATTTTTTAGGCTATCACTGTATTTTATGAGGAAGAATAATATGGAGCATTTCAAATGCTGTCAGTTTTCATTTACCAAAACTAAGATTTGTATGGAGAAATAGTTTTTCTCAATACCCTAAGAAAAAGTAGATTAACTTTTTAACTCTCCATTAAACATTTAATTTATAGCAACAGTTAACTTAGTTAATGTTAGTACTCACCTTCCTACCTTCTTACTGGGACCAAACCAATGAATGCCTTTTTGAAATTAAGCCTACTTCGGCATTGTAACTCTTTCTTCTAAAGAGATAATTTAATTATGTGAAAATGAGAAGATCTAAGGTATTTAAAAATCAGGTACAAGCTTCCTTGAAGTGTAATGATACTGTATGTTTAAATCTTTTGTGTTTCTGTTGGATAAAATGGGATATAAACGTCCTTGACAGCAGAATTCAAGCCAAACCTCAAGAGGCATAAATGCGTTAGCTCCATTACAGATAATGGAAGTACACTTAATCACATCACCTAAGAATCTGGCCTACAGCCCATAACAAGACAGTCCTTTGGAGGGTAATAATATTTGATGTTTTCATCAATCACTCTCCTAGGTCTGTAGCTATCTGTGGCAGACTAAAAAATGTCACATCATAAACAAAAAGGCCAGTCATGGCTATTTCACCATGTTTGCATCCAAATAAAATTTACTAATTGTGGTCCTAGTTCAGGAAAATATTCTTTCAGAAAATGTAATATTTACTTTTGTAATATTTACTTTTAATTTACATGTTTTGAGAATAGATGTATTTCAATACAACAGTCAAATTCTTGCATCTTAGGCTCCAAGTTTTATATTCTCATTCCTTTGCTTTTACTTGCCTAGGACGTATGTCTACGACCACTACAGTAGCAGATGGTAAGAATGGATCTGTTCCATCATCCATGAGAATGGGCAAGAAATCAGTTACAGAAGACCTTGTGACAACATTCAGCTCCCCAGCAGCATGGCTTCTTGTTGTGGCTCTGATTGTTACCTGGTCAGCAGTAGCTATTGTAATGTTTGACCTGGTGGATTACAAAGCCTTTGCAGGTAAAACTCAGCATCTTTTGTTTGATATATCTTATATAAGAATTTAAAAAATTATTAAGGTGTGTGTATTATGTAAATATGAATGAATACCTTCTTAAGAGTCAGCACACAATCTCTGCTGAGTTTACTGTTAGAGGAGATATTGTGAGAAATGTCAGCATATATTCATTTATACATCATAAGTCGTTATAATTTAAATCTTTCCATTTTGCAGCCCATCTTTATCCTGGAAAATGTATATGTTGGCAGTAATATGATATGTATATGAGCATACATGCTCAGATTTCTGTTTTGCAATTTCAATATAAAAATATTTCAAAACTAATAAAATGAATTATTAATTTCCATCTTCTTAAATATATTTTCAAGTTTCTCTTAGTTTCCTTAAGTATTCTGACATCTGCTTAAACAATTCCATCACAAAAAATATGAAAAACACCATTTGTAAACATACTAACTGTAAATTCATCTGCAAAACTCGTAAGTACAGAAAGACAGATTCTTAGCATTAGCTAAGCCACAACCATACCCTCACTTAGGCATTTTAAGATTGGTCAAACTGAGTATACAGGATCAAGTTTGGGAATAGATTGGTTTTTGAGGGCAAGGCATATTCACTTGGCATAAGGACTATGATTCTGGTTGAGGAAAAAGAAGAAAGAAATGGTGAATAAAAATGAGCTCATCATTACTTGATTTTTATACCTTGTAGCTGGCAGTCATGTATAACAGAAATTAAATTTGTGTTTTTAAAGAGGGCATACTATTCAGCAAGCATGAGATAAGCAGGCTGTAGTGACTGGGAAATATGTGAAGCAAAACTAGAAAAGAAATGATGAAGGTCCTTTTCTTTTCTAAAGAACACCAGCTCTACAGTGACCTCATCTATAACAATAATTAACTAGGAATAGAAATTCAGCCATTTTATTAGCTTACTGATAAATCCATAGATTTTAGTCCTGCTGTAAATCAATATTGACCTCAAGATTTGCTGAAAAATCTTTTGAGGCAAAGAGCTTGAAAGAAACCTACTAATTCTGATTTGATGGATGACATAGAAGCTTGGAATATAGGCAAAATGTAAGGCAGATCTCATTTAATTTTTTACTTCTAATTTGTTTTCAGAAGGAATTCACTTGAGTTTCAGTAACGTGGAAACTTCCTTCTGAGTGACCCTTCCTACACAAGCATCAGATTTTAATATGAACGCCAAAAAAAATGTGGCAAAATGGACATAAACCAAGGGAGAGAAACCACCATATTTTGCTTGTAATTTTCCATATTAACTATCAATTAATCATATTCTTACTATTTTTCAGTAAGGAACAAGGGTATGCCTTAGACAAAACTAAACTAAGCAATTCATAGACTGGCTGTCAGCTTATGCATGCTCTGTATACTACTCAGGGTAATATTAAGCAATGCAAAACTATATTTTTTCGGTAGACTGAGGGAAAATTTCTAGGCAGATGGAAATCTGATGTTCACGTTGTATTGGTTAAATGAGCTTAAATCTCAAGGGCACTGATGCAAACTGACATTTTCAGACCAGGCAGTAGAAACAAAATAATGTAAAATTTAATCTGCAGAAGGAGTTCACATTTTGTAGAGATCTCTGAGTGATGATATTTCAATACTTTCATGGGTTCAAGTCTTTTTCTTCCCAAATATATTTCTGTTCCTACATGATTAATTAAAGCAAAATTTAAATAACCTATTAATGGTGAAATGTTAAATGAAAGAACTACTGTGCTCCTTCAGACCTAGATTTATCAGACTGCTTTCTGTTTTTACGGATACATAACGGTGGCTGTATAGCTTTTATTATGGCCAGGGTTTCAGCTCCCGACTTCCTAATCAGCTGCAGTTGTCCAGCTGAAACCCACCTGTGGCAATAGCTGAAGACTTCACATAGAGTCACCTGGCTGGGAGTACTGATACTGAAATTATTTTCACCCTCTGACAGTGTGGCCTTTGCCTCCAGTGGAGCTGTGAAGGAAAACTTGGAGCATGTTTTAAGTGACCGCTTAAATCTAAAATCCAGGAATGGTTTCATTTCACAATGACATTCTTCCTTGAATAACATACAGTTTAAAAAATCTTAATCATTACTTTCATTGCTGTAAATTTAATTTTTCAAGCATGATTAAATTTAATTTATTAGTTTTTAAATGTAAATGAAAGATGCCAAACAAATTAAATGTGACTGTGTATTTTTTTTTATGTACAAAACACATAACATTCAGTGTCTTTTTTTTCCTGAGGTAGAACTTGCCTTTCTTAAGTCAGTGCATACATTTTTTTTTTCAGATTTCTTTCCTTGAGGTTCCATTAAGCTCAACTCTAGAAAATATGCAGGGAAAAGCTGAGAGGAAAACTTGTTTAGTCTGTTGAAGAGGGAACCGAGATTTGATCTAAGAGCAACACACTCTTTCAAAGGGCAGCTGAAAAAGTAGTAGATGACGAACAGTTACCAAGATGATTTTCCTGTAGTATCAGGTGATATAACAAGGTGAAAGGGCCTGAAGTTGTGTCACAGGAGGTTTATGTTGGACACTGGGAACAAAATCCTTATCATGAGGGTAGAGCAACACTAAGACTGCAGATTTTCCATCCTTGGAAGTCTTTGAGACTTTGTGAGCTGGTCATGGCTATCTGGCTCCAGTGGTAGCAGAAGTCCCTTGCTGAGAAGGATTGCACTAGATGAATTTCAGGGATGCCTCTGATCCATGTCTACGTGATTATATGATTCTATGAAAACCTCTGTCAGAATTTAATAAGGTATTTAGAAAGCACATTGCCAGAGATCTCATTGGACTTCACAAATCTGGGGTGGATTTCCCCAGCCTCATATATGGGGTGTGAATCTGTGAGCCATCGTAGTCAAGATTTCAGTCACTTGTTAGTGCAGTTAAAAATACACTGTGCATATCTGCAGAGCTAGCCCTCTACCAGGTTTGCAGGAAGCAAGAACCTGAGCTGAGATTGCTGGGTAAAATGTCACACACCTACATGCTGGCACCCACTGACCTAGTGACTCCCATGACAGACTTTCATCATATTTATGAGCAAGAAATGCCAATTCCATAGCAAAGTCACTATTAATGACTATTCTGCACAGAACTGACTGTAGAAGAAAACAGCAGTTTGTAGACATAATAGGCCAGGCCAGGTTCTGCATATCTAAGGAATATACATAGATTTGCTCCTCCTAATTCCTACTGGTTATAGAAAACCAACCCACAGATTTTGCTTTTTGAGAACTATGGTATCAAACTCAAGTTTGGAAATTTTGCAGATTTATGCTAATTGAGATTTATCACACATGTAACAATATGAAAATGAAGTATTTGTTCTCATCCTGAAATAAATGTAATGAAAACTTGCATTCCTATTATGTTATTTGGAAAACTGTAAACATGACTGAAATATTTCTAGTGTGGTATGAAGAAGACATGCATTACAAAAGGCTATCACACTATAAACCACATGTAGTACGTAACATGTATGAATATGCAATAAGTAGCATACCACACTGGGAGATCTCTTATACATTCTCAATATTTCTAGAAAAGCAAAAAGATTCGTTTTTGTTTTATGCGTGCTTTGCAACAATTTGTAATTACTTCCATCCCTAAAGTTCAAAAACATTTATTTCACTAATTGGCTTCATAATTCATGAATGTATTTCATGCATTTCTTGTACACATAGCTGGATCATATATTTTAATTAGTACATGTAACTAAATAATTTAAGATTATTTCAGTTCCAAGTTTTGATTGCCCAGGAATCTGCATTTGCTAATGGGAGAATAAAGGGCTCAGAATTCCCCACCCTCTCCATGACCAATTACACATAATTAACATTACCCTAATTTCAGATTCAGATTGTAACATTCAGAGTAAATTGACAGTGATGTTGCCAGTCACCTAAGAGCCAGACTAGGACAAACCTAGTGGAACCTCAGCAAATCTACAAAACCCCCAAATAGCTAGAAAATAATAAGCAAAAAGGGCACAAGACGTGGGAAATGCAGGTTCCCATTTTCTTTTAATTACATTCATAAATGCAAAAAGGATCGGACCTTCCTTGTAGATAATTCATTGTTCTCAACCAAAAGAGGCATTTTAGAGATCTCCAGCCAAGGCAGATCTCTGTGGAGGTAATGCCTATCAATGGAGACATAGAGCTCCTGCCTCAATGCGAAACTGCAGGGATTATATCAGTAAGATATTCTCCTTAATGCTTTTTATTTTTCTTTTTTCCTTTCTTTTAAGATAGATAATAGGAAAACAACTGGCCAAATTGTTCTGGGCTCTTGGACACCAGCTTCTGACTAACACAGTCTGAAATCACCATTTCCCTGTCTTTAGTTTATGGTCACTTTTGTTTTGGAAGGTCCTGGGTATCCAGAGTGATATGCATATTTTCCAGTAAAGGAAAACAAACAAACAAAAAATTAAGACCCTAGTTTTTATTTTAACATCTGTATTTTGAAGAGAAAAAGACCCAAGAAAATGGTGAACAGGACTCTAAGTAATTTGTGCTGTGTAATTGGCACATTTTTTCTTCCAGTCTTCTGCATGAAAAAATTGTAAATTTCAAAACCTGATTATGACAAGTGGAATTCAAAAAAGACAGCTACTCTACTACACTACTACTTGCCTATTACTTTATTTGTCTATTTATTTATTTCTCTATTTTTTGAGATAAACATTATCAGGAACATGTAACTAGGTTGCCATAAAAGTAATGTCTCCTATTTATTTCCATGGAAACGACAACAGATACAAGGAACACAACAACTCTATTTGATAGATCAAATTATTAGCTACAAAACACTATTTTTCACGGCGACCACCATTAGCTATGCATTTTCAACAGTGATGAGCAAGAACCTGCCTGATATACTCATAAAAATCTACACCAGCAGAGGTGACACACTCACTGTCACCACCCACTGACTCACTGTCCTGTCATTCACAGTTTGGTTTCCATCAACATTCAGCAAGCATCAATGACAGTCATGACTTTTTTCTAAATGGAGGAAATCAGTGACACACCTTTGCTTCATATGCACTTTCATGTCAGATGCCATTTGTCAGACAGCCTCTCTGCTGCCACCTGTCACAAGGCAACAAATGTAACAGAATACTGGTGAGAAGGTTGGACTCCTACTGTCATACCACCAACAGCCACTTCTGATGTCGTGGGCCAATACATTAAAAAAAAAAAGAGACACTACTTTCGGACCAACCCACATACATTCATTTTTCTTCTGGAGTTTTATCCTAATACAGTCATTCTGTTGCATTTATGTTCAATTATAACTCCTAAAAATTGAGAGGAAAAAAAAAGAAGAGAGTACTTATATTAAGATTGGTATTTTTTCCAATTTTACTAATAAAATTAACTTACTTTTGTTTTTGCTTAAAGTGCCAGCAAACAAATAGAACAAATATTTTTGCCTCTCAGTGCAAGGGGTGTTTAAAAGTATCACTAAATTAAAATAATTGCTAAAAGGTTTTCCAGACATGCAAAGCCCAAGAAAAATCTCCAATGGAATGCAGGAGTGGAATGTAAAATAATAAAAATATAAAATATGAAGATATAAAAAATAAAGTATAAAATATGAAATATAAAATATAAAATAAAATATCTTGGATATCTTGGATATCTTTGATCAAAACACTGATGTAATCTTTTAAAATACGATTTTTACTTTATTTACAGGTGTCAGTCTAAAGCATGAGTAAACAGCTTTTGCATTTCAAGGTTCTTAATTAAATTCTTCAAATTCTACAAATGTACCTAACATCCACAAAACATTTTTTTTCATTGCTTTCCAAAATGACTACAAAAAAAAAAAAGAAAAGAAAAAGAAAAAGAAAGCGTGGGGGTGCTAAAGATGAATTTATAAATTTCAACTTAAAGAAGGGGTGCTCAGGAGATATCCCACATCCTGTGTTTCACAATGCAATAAATATTACAGCTGAGTTAAAAACCCCTAGAAAATGAGTTTGTACTGTAAAGAATGATAGTCTATGAAATACTGTAGTTCTTCAAGTACTACATCTCAAACGGTCTAACATATGCAAGATCATAACCTGATAGATCAAACTTCATGAGCTCCCAAACTTGAAAGTATAAAATTTCAGAACCTCATTCAATGGACAGGAAAAGAGCTAAGAAGAGAAAGAAGACTCACATACCTAAATATGCTACATGGGATATGAAATAGAAACCACACTTCAGGATTGTAATTCATTTCAGTAACAATTCCAAAAATGTGACTTTCTTGTTATTTGCTATGGAAGAAATCCGAATAACTAGAGCTGCCTATACGTATCGTGTATTCTTTTTAGCAATAGAATGCATAACTTTAGAAAATACGTGTGCTGTATTTAACAGTATTTTTAAATTGCTGTGATTTGTACTATATTATCTAACACGTCTGGATAACTGTCCACTGGAACCCTGAAGCAGTGATTTTCCTGGAAGAATCCTCTTTGTAGTTGTTTATCTTTTTAATGAACTCCAATTTCTGCTTCATAACAGCAGCCCCCAAGATTAAATAAGTTGCCACTTCTCTCAGTAACTGCTTCATTTATTTGAGCAACAACTGAGGATGTTCATGACTGCTAATGTTGTTTCTCCCTTTTTTTTATTGGCCTTTCTTGTGTTCATCATGTTGTCATCCGCTCTAGCCAGCTATTCACAGCGTTGCGATGATCCCTGTTTACCACCTGGTAAAGACGCTGTGCCTGCAGTGTTCTGAATACGTGTGTGCATGTGCTCTCTGCTTGCTGAGGTAACAATGCACGGACATGAGCAGAGTACTAGGGTGCAGTAGCACTGCTCCTCGGCTAAACCCAGGTCTGCAAAGTTCATTAGAATAGAGCGCTCCCAACATTCACACCTGAGACAGGTTGGCCAGTGTCATCCCTCCGGTCAGCAGATACTCAGTAATCAGCGATAACCAGGGGGATATTCACTTCATCACGATGAATGCATTTTTGAATATCACTGGACACTTATTTAACGGGACTGCATTATATATGTGAAGTTAAAATCTGTACTCTCAGTTAGAGAATAGAAACTCCAGAATGAGTGAAAAATAAAGCTTCAAAATATTTTGGATTAAATATCTGGCTGTTTAAAAAACAACACTTCATTTAGGTCTGATCCAGCAAATCTGAAGCCTTTCACCTGATATCAAACCAAGTCACATAAGTAACATACAAAGCTGATGCTAAACTTACATTCCTGTCCACATTTTTTCATTTGTCTATATCAAAAGTATCAGAAATTTTTTGATACTTTATGAAACATTGTGAATTTAATTGTAAAATTTGGAAATTCTACTTATATTCCATGTATTCTATTATTCCTATTCCACATTTTATATCAATATGCTCTATTTATAACTGCTGTCTTTTGGGATAAAATATTTTTGTCCAGTTTCATGTGAGGTTTCCACTATGGACCGGATCTCAATATAATTATCTTAGGCTGATATTAGAAAGAGATGAAGTTTAGTACAGAATGCAATCTTCATATTTATATTTGAGGTACATATACAAGGGGAATTTCTGGGAAATACTGAGGTTGAGTTTTTTTAGAATTGTTTTATACAGCTGTAATTCATTGATAGCCGCCAGAGTCTATTCAGATGACCAGACTAAAAATAGTTATCACAAATCTTAAGAAAGTATAAACTTTCAATTTAAAATAATTTTATCACTATAGCAGAATATTTTACTAGACTAGGACATGTTTTATTATAAAGAACTAGTATTAAGCTTTTGTATTTTATCAAACATGACAGAAATTCTGTCTTCGTCAGCTGTATCTTGTCAGTATTAATGAATTAGGTTCTATCTAATAGATCAGTCTTTACACCAGATAATTACCATCATTTGTATTTTAATTGCATTCAATTCAGTGAAGTCAAAATATGTAATTGATGAAAATCCAACAATGTTAAATAATTCACAGACATTCATTTAAAAATAACTTTAAAAGAGGTTTAACTCTGACTATATGTTTAACTATTTGACAGGAGAAAGATTGATAGAAGACCACATTCTTTGTCAGAGTTATTAAAACCAGCATAACTGAAGTCATTTGCACAAATAAATCAATTAGCCACTTTTTATTGTGCAATTCACATGAATAAATAACACAGACTTTGAAACATAAGCAAATTTGCTTGAGGTACTGCAACAAATCATACTGTGTGATTAACCAATTACTGTTGTGAAAAGCTGCTGTTACAGTACTTATTGTCAGTTCCAATTAAAAACAAACCAAAAAAAGTTTTCTTTTGCTTTCAAACAGCACAATTTTACTGCAGTTGAAATGACTTTGTCACTTTATGAAAATCATCATTGCTTGATTTTAAAGAAGCTAATGAAAGGTGAAATATTAATTGACTTTAAAGGTACAACATCTATTTCCAAATCAACTGGAGTAGAAATTGTGAGTCAAGGAGAATTTAGAGTGGGATAAATCAGTTGCTTGGAATTCTTGTGCTCACCTTTTTAACCAAATTATTGTTTCTGCAACAATAATGCTGGAGAGCTTCAAAGGATTATAGCAATTTAATTTAGATGTAATGAGCATGAAAACCGGCTTCAAAATACATAGAGTTTCCAGAAACATTTATATACAACAAAAGTATATTTGAAAATTATTTTAACCACCTTTGTGTATGTTTTTAAAGAAAATTGAAACAAGACTCCTAATTTCCTTGCAGATACATAAAAGAGGTAAAAATACTCGACTAGGAAATTCAGTTGAGTTTTCCTATGATAAGGTTTTCTTGAAAAGTAATGTATAAAATCTTTCAATTTTACTATAACTCGTACCCTGTCAGCAATAATTCTTCCATATTTAAGCATTTTCTATAACATTCTGGAACCAAAAATTTGAAGGTCCCACTAGGAAAATAAAACAAAACACCAAAACAAATGAACAAACAAAAGAAAACAGCAGTAAAAATGATAACACAAGCAGAGCTGAATCTTTACTGGTTTGAAGAACTTTCCTTCCAGCAGTAAAAGGAACAAAAGGGCTCAAAAAACCAAAATGTTACTGGAGAGCACTGTTGGTGGTTTGCATACTGTTTGATGTGAATAGTTGTATTGACCTGAAATTAATAACAAATATAAATTAATTACAAATCTAAGTGCTTAGTCGAAGTGCATAGTGACAAGAAAAAAATTAAATATGAAACAGCATTTCTGATATGATCCATGTCACACTTTTTAGTCATCTAAAAAAAAAAAAAAATGGTGTTATGTCCATGTTTAGTTGTTTAGTTTTTTTTGGTGGTTTTTTTTTTTTTTTTTTTTGGCTTCTTTTATATTCAAGAGAAAAGGAAGAGCATGTTTGGAAATTAATTCATATCATTCTAAAAGGATGTGAGATGGAGGTGACAATTTTTCTTATCTGAAGGTCAAAATAGCTTTCTGAGTTGGCTTTTGAGAGAGTCCAGATTCACCAGGGACTCAACATCTGGCTTTCAGTACATTTGACTAGATAGGACAATCGGAGTTTAAGCTGTGATTAAATGAAATGACATCATGTTAACAAAAGGCCTTCAGTGTTAATTGTGTTTCGTCCCTCAATTTAATCTATTTAGTAACTATTTTCTTCCTTGCTCCTCTTTTCCCTCCTCTATTCTCAACATTTTGTATTTTTCTACTACATAATCTAAGAGGAACAATTGCCTCAGTCTCTACTTACCAGTTCTACTAACAGTAGAACTTCACAGCCTGGATTTACTTGAGAACTATGCTGTCTTCATAAAGCCTCTTTACAATTTATTTTCGGGCTCCTGCCTCTGCTGCTCACAGCAGTCCCAGCACAACAGACACAACATAAAATACATATCTATATATACATTCATTAATTCATGATTATAAATATCATTCATTCATGATTATAAATACAGATTATGGTTATAGATTAATTACAAATTATATATTATGTATTATATGCTATATACCACATGCTAATAAGAGAAGTATATTTTCAGCTTAGCATTATAAATACTTTGTATTCCAGTGTCTGACAAGACATGAAGAGCCAGACAGAATTATGCAAAAGACAATTAATCCAATCTGAATGTGTTGAATGCATGACTATTGAAAACAAAAGTCATCAAGCTGTAGCATTACTGGGCATCTGTAAAGAAAGAATAATTTAATTTTAAAAAATCTATCTTGCAAGAAGATGTCAAGTTTAAATTTTATCTTGAAATGTGTATTTCTCAGCTATACTCTTCATACAGAAGTATGAAAATCTTTCTTTGCATGTGTGTGAGCTAAATGGCATCTTTCTGCTTTTTTTCTCTCAAATTGCTTTCTTTCCTTTGCTTCATGTGTGTTTTGTTCTGCTAGAGGAAGAACAATCTCTTATTGACAAAGTTGCAGGGAAATCTAAAAGCATGGGTTTGATCAGTAGCTCTTTCCATTCAGGATTATCTGGTGTGGTGTTCGTAAGCATTTTAGGATGAATTATTACTCTTAGCCCAATATTTTAAAAATTCAGGAAATATTTTTTTAAAATTAAGTAGAAGATCTGTGCACAACTAAACTTTCCCAGTCTTTGTCACTTGAATCACACTGCAAAAGGATCTGTTTAATTTTGCAAGTTTAGTTTTGCAAATACCACTGAAGTTTTATCTACAAAGCCCCAAGTCGATTTTTTTCTGAATTTTCTATTTGAAACAGGATTTGCAGCTCTGGCCTGTTAGTGTAGGTGTTCCCGGAAAAATTAGCCTCTGGACACATACGATTTCTAATCCCTTTTCCACAGTTTGCTATGAAGATGTTATGAATTAAAGACCAGGATATGACGTTGAGGGCTCTAATTCATCAGCAAAGATGGCTTGCCTTGGGGTGGTTGCAGTAATTTCCTCTGCTTTTTAGATCTTCTCTGAGCAGTTCCTATGCCTGCCTGGGGGGACAGCTCTCCTACCTGTGAAGCAGTTCTTGAGCTGCTAATATGTAGCCTCAAATATTAAAATACACTGGCAAGAATTTTTGTTTTGTTTATAGATGTGGTCCCTCTGGCTATAAATTTCTGTGACTGTAGAAACAGCTGAGCCATCCCTAAGCGTCCAGTGGGTACAGGGTGGGCAGAAAATGAGGATAGAAACTAGGACAGCTGTATGATGTTTAATCACCCTTGCTTGTGAATCTAAAGCTTAGTTATGCTGATACCCCTCTGGCCATTTAATTCTGTGTGTCCACCTTACACACCTTAGCATCTCTAAATTAGAGTAAATGCAAATGGCACCAAGGCTCAGGTTACAGATTTATTTTTATAGTCTGAATATAAATGTACATATTTATACAATACATATATAATTCTCCTTGTAAACAACGGAGAAAGTCATTTGTGGCAAATCTGTTGAAAAATTAAAATCTCTGGACCTCAATATGGAAGTCCAGTGCAAATAAATAGATGCCTTACAATAAGAAAAGTCAATACATCCTGGTATACTACTCAAAATCTTTCTGAATTATTTAATCAGTTGCAAATGTTAGCACAAAACAGTACATTAGAAGAAGAATTAATTAATATTTCTTTACAATGTTGTCATTTCAGCAGTGTGCATGACTAAGTTATCTGATGTGCCTGATTGTTCAGTAGCATATAATACAATTTCCAGGAGACAAAAAGCACCATACACCCCAACCAAAATATTTATTTGATCTACACTATCAATAAGCAGATCTGAAATAATAATAATTTTAAATAAAATTTTATACTTAAAATTACTAGGATGTAAAAGGAGTTATTCATTGTTGTATTTATATTTCAAATAAATTTACTCATACGTTTTGTTACAGCACTTCTAGAAAATAACTGTTCATGCTGCTGCCATAAAAAGAAATTGCTTCAAGCCTGCACTTTGCCTGTCTTTGTAACCTGCAAGTTCACGTGAGACTGTTGATTACTGCTAAGATTTGTCTTGTGAGTCACAGCTCTGCAGCCAGAAGTAGTTGTGAAGAAGTTCACATTTAATTTCTTTCAAAAGTATTTGCATACAAAAAAAGAGTGGTAAACAGAGATGTGGTTCCCGTCTTTATACTGTTGAATGTATGTATTTCTATTTAAACTACTAGAAACAAGACTAGGCCAATGATTAAATCGAATTTGTGATTTACCTTCAATTGTTTAAACTTCTGTGAAACTTCTGTGCAAACTTTGCATACACAGGACAGTCTACTATTTCAGTTATGATGGATAGTAACATAGAATGAATGACTGGAAATTTCTCATGAAATACTATGTCAGCATAAACAGGGTATGGAGAAATTTGGTGACCTTATAACTGGAAAAGCCTTTAAAGGAATACTGATATTAATCACTAGTGATTGTTCGCCCTCAAGTGAAGACGTGGAGGGGACTTTCTTCCATAGCAGTAACCAGGAAGATGGAGCATATGGAATGTTGCCGCTTCCTTGTTTGTTGACCTACAGGAGCAAGAAGGCAGCGACTAGTTAAATATTCACACATGTATGTGAATGAAACTCCCTAAAAAATGTAAGAGAAACAGATTTGTGAGTTTATGTGTTTGAGTGTAGCTGGCTGTGTGCCACAACTTGGGCTCCATGGTCCCCTTCATCCTGGACTCAGTTTTGTTTTGACCCAAGTATGCACAATTTTCTTTTATTCACTTTTTCCATGTACTCCAAGAGAAAGGTGAGAAATGTCCATGCAGTTAAACCAAGCCTTATCAGTTTCCTCAGCCAGAATAGCCTTGAAGGTAGATGTGACATAGGACTGGGAAACCAACAGTAGCGAATACTAAATAGACATCAAGAGGCAGGGGACCTCGGCCAGAGAAATAAACTGGGCTGAAAGGAAGAAATTATCTAGAAGGCTAAATATGGGGTAGAATCAAATCTATATTTATACTGAACCCAACAAAGCCTCAGAAGAAGAGTCAGAACTGGGAGAACACTATCAGACCACATTGTCCACTGGGCTATAAATCACTTTGCTAACTGCAAGGACAATTTACATGCACAGGAAGGAAAGCTGTTCTCAAACATTTGAATAACGAAAATCAACAGTAAAAATCATTGTTTCTGTTAAAGAAGGTTGTATAATTAGACTTCTATAAAATGTGGATTAACCTTAAGCACCAAATCTTTTTTTTTTTTTTTTTTTTTTAAACTCTGCACTCAGGAAGATCTGTTAACAAGCTCAGCACAGAACCACTGAGAATCATTCATGAGACACTGGAAGAATCCACTGACTGGCTTTATGGCTTTATTTCTTTACTGTCTGACATCATATGGAGTGACGATGATGACAATGATGAAGGTATTCATAATGTAGATTTCTGTAACTGCACTAATTGCTGTTTTGTGTATAATATGTTGGCTTACTCAGCTTTAACCTCTTAGTCAGAAAGGTCAAACAAAATACAAGTGAATGTTGTTGCTAATAAAGTATCTACTGGCTATTCCAATGAATAAATTCATCTCTTTGTTAGCTTTCATTTCATGTTTAATGTACCATTACAGAAAAGCTGTCAGAATTAAATATTACCATTAGTACATCTTGAAGTAGAGAGTACTAATTTATACAAGACTTCAAAATCACAATAAAAATATGCACCAGAATATTGCTTCAGAGCATGGCAACAGCTGTTTTCTTTTAATCAGCAACAATCTAAAATTAGCCTGTAAAAATATAAGGTAGATCAAGAAACTTATATATTTAGTTTCTATATACCAATGACAGAACAATATATTGTTAAAAGAAAAATATAAGAAAAAAAAAAAATTTGACTAGACTGAGGGTAGTTTGGACGGCAATTTACAAACAATGCATTTTACTAAAAATTTTGATGTTATCATTACAGTAATTTTCTTCATCTGACATAATCTGATAAATGAAAGTAAGCTGCTAACATAACAAATTTGGAAACAATTATCTTTCTGTTATTAAAAAAAAACAAATAGCTCTGTGTGAGCAGAGCAGTAGTGGATTTTTATGCCACACTGCATTGGTCATATTGAGAAATGATGAGTGTAGGAGTGACATCTTCATTTCAAAATAATTTATTTTCTATTCAATTTGTCTACCCCAGAAAGACTGAAAATGACTTCTACCTGTTTGTTCATAAGCTTGAGATATTATCAAATTCACTTTTAAATGTATGAACTTTATATACTCGTACCACATATGAACATTGATACATAAGCTGCTACATGTGAGTTTGTGAACAGGATATCCTATTCTCAGGTATGATCTACAGAAAGCCATCCCCTTATATGGTTGAGAAACAGAAAATATGTAATATTGAGAGCTTGATAAAACTTCAAAACTTTTTACCATTTTGTGTTCATAGAATAACGTCATAAAATCATAGACTGGCTTAAGTTGGAGGGGACCTTAAAGATCATCCAGTCTCAACCCCCCTGCCATGGGCAGGATTGCACCTACTAGACTGTGCTGCCCAAGATCCCATCCAACCAGGCCTTGAATGCCTCCAGAGATGGGGCATCCATAACCTTTCTGGGAAACCTGTTTCAGTGCCTAACCACCTTCTTAGTAAAAAATCTTGTCCTGATATCTAATCTGAATCTCTCCTCTTTCAGTTTAAAGCCATTCCCCCTTTTCCTATCACTACCAGACTGTGTGAAAATTTGCTCCCCTTTTTGACAGTAAGCTCCCTTCAAGAACTGGAAGTCCACTATGAGGTTGCTGCACAGCCTTCTCTTCTCCAAGATAAAGAAGCCCAACTTCCTCAATGTCTCTTGATAGAGGGGTTGCTCCAGCTCTTTGATCATAATTTGGACTCACTCCAACAGCTCTGCATCCTTCTTGTGCTTGGGACCCCTGGCCTGGACACAGTACTCCAGATAGGACCTCACAAAGGTGGAGCAGCAGGGAACTTCTCTTGCAGTGCTGGCCATTCCTCTTTTGATGCAGCCCAGGATACTGTTGGCCTTCTGGGCTGCAAGAGCACACTGCTGGTTCATGCCCACTTTTTCATCCATCAGGACCCCCAAGTCCTTCTCCACAGGACTGTTCTCGATGAGTTCTTCTCCCAGTCTGTACTAGTATCTGAGATTGTTGTGACCCAAGTGCAACACCTCCCACTTGGTCTTGTTCAAACTCATTAGATTTTCATGTGCCCACTTTTTGAGTGTGTCCAGGTCCCTCTGGATGGTGTTTCTCCCTTTTAGAGTGTTCAAGTACTTGAGTGTATATGTGTTAAAGGAAGTAGGAAAGGTCATAAAGTAACTGACATGAAAATACTCAAGATCTGAATGCTTGGAGTGCTTGGAAACTTCAGTTCCATTAGCCAGGTGGCATTTCACCTATGTCTACCTGTAGTGTGAAATGGCAGAAAACAACTTACTGCTTTGTATCCTTAAAAAGAAAGCTTCATTTTCCAGGATGAATCCTTCAAATTCAAATTGATAGCTCATTGTTCCTCTGAAACTGACTCTCTTTTGCCATGGATTTCACTAGAAGTGCTGTTACATTTACAACCTTGCTATCCTGTGCATTCATTTTATAATCTGGAGTTTACTACTGGAACCACTGGACCTTTCCTTACAACATGAGTGCATGCATACATTCAAGCAAATTGTAAATACATCATCACCATTTTATATTCAGAAGCACAAATACAGATTTGGAAATTTCTTTGGTTACTACTGCACACTGAATTTATCTGTCCCAGACCCAGAAACCTTCTACAATAAGAGACAGATTCTGCGAAAATCCAAACTCAGAATAGGATGCTTGCCTTTCAGCACAGAAGGAATAAAATGCATTTAAAAGTGATAATGAATCAATAGGAGAAATAATGTGTTGTGCATATGTATTTTGCTTTGATTTGGTTTTATTATGAAGCCTCTTATCTGCCATTTGTTTTGTTTTTGTTTTTCTCTTTGTTTAGGTGAAGTGGAATCTTCTGTGATAAAAGGTTGGTCAGATGCTTCCCTATAGATGGCAATTTTTTGCAACGTATATTCAGAGTAAACTAGTATGTCTGTGGTATGGATTCTGTCATTATTAACATTTCTATCTACCAACCACGAGTATTGTGCTTTAAGAAAATTACTGAATCAGAAATTCAATTTATAAAACTTGCTGAAATGTTTTCTCTTTGCAAGAATTAAATATTATCTAGAAAAGCTGAAAAAAGTAATATCAAACTGATAAAATTACTGTAAGGATATTATTTGTAGCCTTGCCCTGTATACAGATCTTTTATTAATGTTTATGTGAATTACATGTATGTCTGCATAGAAATGGTGTTTAGAAATAAGAATATATAAGGAAAATTTACGGAGAAATAATGACAAGATGTAAGAACATACTACATTGTGCCAATGAAAAGACCTAAAATAAGGTCTACCTTTGAATCTTCTGAAAAAAATTACTTAGTTAACAAGTAACAAGACAAGAATGAAACAGGTAGGATTTATAATATAAATCTTCCCAGACTTGAAGACTGCCATGCCGAAACATAAAACTTTAGTTCAACTCCTATTAAATGAAAAAGAAAATGTATTTAAAAGGCTTGGGATATTGTTGATAGGATATAAAACTTTTAAAAACTAGGCACATTTTTACTCCAAATTGATAATTTGATAATAACAAGATAAGTTGATTGATTAGTTGATAATAACAAGATGTGTTACCTGGACTGTTTGACTTGAATTTGGTATCCATTGAATGGTATACCAAAAGGTAAATATCTATCTTGAAGAATCTATCACCTGAGATTACAATCCAATTTTCTCTGAAGTGTAACTTGTTCAAGAGTGCATTTAGTGACATAATTTATCAGTCTCAATAGGGTATCCAAGGACTAAATAGGTTTGGAGACCAAGGCATCATCCAATGAATGATTTTTCATATTTGGACTGATGTTGTAGGAAAATATTCCATCTTAATCCATTGGTAAGATTTTCAGAAGGGTTCCCTTTCTCTTCTCCCATAAAGAGAAATGCACTGTTAATATGACAGTGGGTTCAGAATCTGAAGTTGCAGCATGTTGCTGTCAGAGCCCATAGGTACATGACTGAAAGAGGCCTACTCATCATAAGCCAATGTAGCTGTCTGATCTGGGATGTTTCAGAGGTTGTTTCATCCTTGTCTTCTTGTAACAAGATATTTCTTGGCTAAGACTGATGAAGGAAGTGTCCTAAGACTCTACCAAAACACAGGCATAAATTTTCACAGAGGCATGTCTGCAAATAGCTTGTTACCATCTCCAGACTGCAGAAGATTTCCATTTCATCTCGATGACTACAGTCTGGCCTTTTTGTCATCTCTTTTTCTGGGTGACAAAAATAAAACATATCTGGCATGAAGCCATGGTTTTTCTCATGTGGCCACTATTAGGGTTGGACCAAAAGAAGGATCAGCAACTTTTGCCATATTTTGGATATAAAAATATTTGTAGCTAGATCCACAAAATCAACATTACACTTTTAGGCGTTAGAGTATTTTCTGTTTTCATTCAAAGGACCATTTCTGCATCATGGTCTTATCTACTCTGTGCAGCATTTCTGTCCATGGGAATTGTACTTTAGATGGCTCTTACAGCAGGGCATTTGAACATCCTAAACAAATAGCAAGAGTGAGACCAAGTAGTACACTCCAGTAGAGGAACAGTTTGATTTTTTGCACATATTTAAGAGAAATTTCTCTCAAATTTTAATCTGTGAATATGCATAGTAGATCAAATATTGTTGTACCTGTTTTTTAAGTATTTGTGTGGAAAGAACTTTCATGAATAAGCAGATGAGAGCTTTTGAAATATCTTCTCACTTATTTTGGGTATATGGATAAGCCTCCATTCTATTTCTTTATTTGCTGGCAATTTTTATGAACACTAAAAAGCACTAGATTTACTTAGTAATGTAAATATAGTAAATGCAAAAACATGAAGATTGTTGCTAATACAATACAATCACATACTAAAATCACAGAATCACAGAATTGTAGGGGTTGGAAGGGACCTCCAGAGATCATCGAGTCCAACCCCCCTGCCAAAGCAGGTTCCCTACAGCAGGTCGCACAGGTAGGCATCCAGGCAGGTCTTGAACATCTCCAGAGAAGGAGACTCCACCACCTCCCTGGGCAGCCTGTTCCAGTGCTCCATCACCTCACTGTAAAGAAGTTCTTGCGCACATTTGTGCAGAACTTCCTATGCTGCAGTTTCTGTCCGTTTCCCCTTGTCCTGTCTCCACTCACCACTGAAAAGAGTCCAGCCTCGCCATTCTGCCCCCCACACCTTAGATATTTATAGACCTGGATCACGTCTCCTCTCAGTCTTCTTTTCTCAAAGCTGAAAAATAAAAGGGTAGTGGTGAGGATACTCTGCAGTGATGAAAGTAGGAGAGAAGAGTGTAGTGATAATTACAAGCCCAAAGAAAGTGAAGATCACTTTTGTAGAGATGTAAATTGAAAGCAAAGATAATAATGCAAGTATTAAAAATGGGCTGGCATGTATAACAGAACTAGTATCAATCTCAGAATCCTTAAAAAAGGGATGAAAACACTTCCTTTCTTATTGCAATTATTTTTGCCATCCTGCCTTTCACTAATATCTATCTTTAGTATTTGGGAGTGTGAACATTCATAATGTCCAAGGAAACCATAATCTCAATCAGAGTTACTGAAAGATTGTACTGCAGAGGACTTTGCTGTCCTCAACAGTGAGTACTCTCAACATGGCAAAACTGTGGTGCTTTCTCACAAAAGACACTTAGATGTCTAATAATAGTTTCTTATAGGCTTAAAAAACTGCATTTATTTCTAGAACAATTGTTATGAAGGATAATGTTGTTCATTTTCTAAGGGTTAGTTTAACCGTTAGAGATAAATCCATTTATTTTTAATCCACAAGTTTTTTCATATTTTTGTCTTTTTACTAAAATTTATTGCTACAGAAACAGAGATAAATATTTATTGTCTTTTGATGTGTGCGTTTGGCATCAGATGTGAGACTTGTAAAGAGCTGAGAAACATGGTGCACAAAATTGAAAATAATGACCTGTAAAATATAGGCAAGTGCAAACACTTCAGTACTGTCAATGGATAAAATACAATTATTAAACTGGAACCTCACTCCAGTTAACATACATGTAATTAGAAATTTAAATCTAAATACAAATTTGTTTAGCTTACTAGTGTACATCTGACAAACTGAGCATTTGTAACATTTAATTCTGTATGTTAAAGTAGCATTTTCTTTTACTTCAACACAGGCAGTGCATTCTGGCTCTGAAACATGAAACTCAGTCTTACGAAGAAGTTGTTCAAAATCTTTAAAAAATATACTAACACTAGAGCTGTTTAGTTTTTAATCTTGTACTCTGAGGCTTAGTAAACTGATATTTTTCTTTATTTTTTATTGGGCCTTCAATGGAGTCCACCTCCTACCTCTCTTCCAAAAATAAGTCCTTTTGTAAGAAATTCTCATTTAAAATAATACAGTGAACTTTGAGAACACTGAATCAGAAAAGTATCATTGTGGTATTGTTATGATCTCAGTATGAACAAATAAGTATGTATTGACATAAGATTATTCTACAACAGCAATCACATCAAACTTGACTTCCGTGATATTTAGACATTAGATAGACCTCTGTGAGTCAGAGCATCTGTATGAGATGGAAAGATTTGTAAAATATAAGAATAGTCACATGAAATGGACCTATTCTCTTTACTTTTTTTTTTTATTTAAAAAAAAAATGCAGTTAACAAATCATAGATTAAAATAAGAAGCCACAAAAAAAAAAAAAAAACCCAAAAACAACAACACCAACCGCCCCCCCCCAAAAAAAAAGCACCTCCAGAATTTTCTGTTACAAGAAACATTGCAAATTATAAATAAATTTTTTGGAAAGTATATCCCTCTTTCCACCCTGTCTTCTGTTCAGCTGAGAATGTATTTCCCTGATGATTAGACTGGTAATTAATATGCTAATGACATGTAGTTCATGATCTTCTGAAAAGATATGGCAACTTCTAAGGACACAGTTCATTTCACTGACTTATCCTCAGCAGCTCTGGCCAAACTTTTCTACATTTTTAAAAAGAATTGTAATTTATAAAAGATAATAATTTACTCTTACCATAGCTTATATCAGCAGAACTGCTAGAAAAACTTCACATTGATAGCTAACATCATATCTATCCCTTCTTCTTGGGAAAAATACAGAAAATACAACATCATCTTCTATCTTCTAGAAGTTCTCTTGTAATTCAGTAAAGAAATCTGGAATTATAAAGAAAGCAAATGGGTCTTCTAGAAATAATACTCATGTTTAGAAAATATTTATGCAAAGAAATAAACATTTTCCAACCAGAAAGTTGGTAATATACTAGAAAAAAGAAATTCAAAGTAAAATAGATGCAATCTGAAAACTGAATTGCTGGTGTGGTTGTCATATTCTAGAAATCAATTATTCAGTTCCATTCATCTCTAAAGTATATATCCATTTGTACTGGTAACTCCTTCTGAATTCAGTTTCTTTTATGTTGCCATATGGTAATGTTCAATTTTCTGCATATGAATTGCTATTACAGATCTCTGTAAAAGGCTTTCACTGTCTGCCTAGGTTGCCCTTTACTACAAAGCATTTGGTGTATCATTGTGTGAAGTATACACTGTGTTAAAAGATGAAAATCCTTGATTGGTTCTATTCTCAGATGTTAAACTGCTTGTACAGATATGTGTTCTTTACATATTTTGTGGCATCCATTTCTATTGCTAATATTCTTTTAACAATCTTGCCTTGTTTTCTTACTATCATGAATACAGTAATAGCATATCCACTATGAAATAGTATTTTATAACATTTTTTAACATAAGGAAAATATTTTCCATATTATCCAGGTGAAATAAAACTGCATATTCTAGGGAATAGGGATGCTCAATTATAGCTCTTTTCTCAGTTGAAGAAT